TAAAAGTTTTTAAATAAATAAATTGTCAACCTGGGGGACAGGACCCCTGGGGTGTGTGTGAGGGGGTTTCAGAGGGATCACCAAAGACCACCAGGAAACACATATTTCTGATGGTCTTAGGAACCCCTTTGGCAAAGAAGGTTGAAGATCTCTCCACCTGTCCTTCTCTTCCTTTTTGGAAACAGACAGTGAATCCTCCCACCAAAAGCCCTCCTCCATTGTGTTCAAATTTGGGCATATTGAGTATTCATGCCAAGTTTGGCCCAGATCCATCTGTGTACACAGTGCTCTCTGGATGTAGGTGAACTACAACTCCAAAACTCAAGGTCAATGCCCACCAAACCTTTTCAGTATTTTCTGTCGTGGAAGTTCTGCTTTGGAAGTTTGGCCCAATTCTATTGTTGGTGGAGTTCAGAATACTCTTTGATTGTAGGTGAATTATAAATCCCAGCAACTACAACTCCCAAATGACAAAATCAATCTACCCAACCCCACCAGTATTCAAATTTGGGCATATCTGGTATTTGTGCCAAATTTGGTACAAATACATCTTTTTTGGGTTCACGGTGCTCTCTGGAGTTGGTGAACTACATCTCCCCTAAGTCACTGTCAATTCCTCCAAAACCCATCCAGTAGTTTTTATTGGTCATGGGGGTTCTGTGTGCCAAGAATGGACCAGGTCTATCAGTTGTGAAGGTCTCAGTGTCAAGTCTACACTCAGTGTCAAGTCTACATTTGATCTTAGCCAAAAGGCTGAGAAGGTCTGTGGAAGTCAGAGCTGAATCGGTTGAAGGTGCTACAAATCCTATTAGCTGTTATATTGTTTTTGTGATTAATCATTATGCTTTAATTATGTTCAATTTGTAACAATAGAAATATATCCTGCATATCAGATGTTTACATTATGATTCATAATAGTAGCAAAATTACAATTACGAAATAGCAATGAAAATAATGTTATGTTTGGGGGTCCCCACAACATGAAGAACTGTATTAAGGGGCCGCAGCATTAGGAAGGTTGAGAACTACTGATCTAAGGGGAGTGGCGGCAGTTTTGGGGTGGACAAAGGCAAGGAGAGTGTGCTGTGTCTCTTGATTTGTTTACCCCTGATGAAAAAGAACCATTTGCATAGCTCTTTAGGGTCAACTCACTTCTGTCTTTGCCCTGTGTAGCACAGCAGCTTGTCTGAAGGATTTCCCTGCTTGATGCTTCTAGCAGCAAGACACAGGCAAGAAATCATTGAGAGGGCTTGCAGAGCATGGACATGTAATTTTATCAGTTACATTTATATCTTACCTTTTCTCCAGGGAGTACAGAACATCATACATAGCCAAGGTATAGCTGCAGGAGGTGGGGATACGGAACTAGGATATTCCCTTGCGAAATAAGATTTCTCCCCAACAAAGGAAATGTTTCTACAGTTGCCAAATTTCTAGCATGGAACAGAGGGAGGCACTGAAAAATGTTTATACCTAAGACTATTATATCCACAGTCTTCTTATTCCTTTGCTTTGCTTGTCCCTTTTTTTGGACACCTCTCTAAGTGTTCAAATTGAGTTTTAAGTTACTGCAATGCTAGACATTTGGAGACTGAAGAAAACTTTCATTAGGTGGCAATATTTTTTTACAAGAGGGCAGTGCCCACATGTAAGAATCAGCATGGTGTAGTGGTTTCAGCATTGGACTACGAAACTGGAGATGAGGGTGTGAACGCCTGCTTAGCCATGGAAACCCATTGGATGACGAAGGGCACACATTTCAAATACAAGGCCCACGGGACGAATCTGGCCCACCACTTCCTTTTATGTGGCCCATGAGGCTTTCAATGCCAGGTTTCTTTTCCGTGTCAGGAATGACTTGAGAAACTTCAAGTTGCTTCTGGTATGAGAGAATTGGCCGCCTGCAAGGTCGTTGCCTAGGGGATGCCTGGATGTTTGATGTTTTACCATTATGTGGGAGCTTCTCTTATGTCCCCGCATGGGAAGCTAAAGATGAGATGGGAGCTCACCCTGCTCCCCGGATTCGAACCGCCAACCTGTTTGTCAGCAATCCAGCCGGCACATTGTGCGACCGGGGGCTCCAATGCCAGGGTAATATAGTTACATTTATACAGCCTTACAATGTCAAACAATCTTTAGAAGGCACCCACAAGTCTGATGCGGCCCTCAGTGAAAATGAGTTTGACACCCCTGACCTAGGGAAAATCACATTCCCTCAGCCTCAGGGGAAAGCAAAGAAAAAACCCTGTCTGAAAAATTTGGGCAAGAGAACTCCATTTTAGGGTTACCTTAGAATTGCCATGAATCTGAAATGACTTTAAGACACACATAGTAGCGTCATAATAGTACCATCCCTGTATCTCTACTCCTAACACTCAGTTCTTGTATTCCCCACTTTCTTTCACAATAGTTCTATGATGTAGGTGAAGCTGGCCCAAAATCTACCTAAAAGTTTCATGGCTCAGTGAGGGCTTAAGCCTGCATTTTCTGAGTCCCAGCTGAACCGCATCACACTGGACCGAGTTTCTGCACAGGAGCTGTTTGCTACTTGCCATGTCAACCGGCTTTAATTACCTTTCCCATGGAGTTTTGGAGGATCAGAGCTACGCTGCTCCTCAGTCTCTCTTCTGGTGCACTGCATCAAACATATATGGGTGCCATGGCAACCACCAAATGTTATTTTGTGGGGTTTTTTTATTTTTGCAAAAGATGCTTGAATTTGTGCAAATTTTAAAATTGTGAAGGGGAAAATTAACAGCATGGGATGGAAAGGAAATTGCTGGGAGGCAATTATTAAGTGGAGTACGATTTGTAGGTCTTCACTAGCATTCCAATAATCAAGCAAAGCCAAAATAAAAATAGGAATAAATAAATGGGAGTACTAATCAGTGCCTGAGTTGTGCATTAAAAAATCACGAAGCAATTTGGGTGAAAAACAAGCAATCTAGGTAGATGCCAAGTTCCCTCTGCAGCCTTTCTTTCTCGTCGTTCCCTGACTAAAAAGGAAAATCGGTCGGCACTAGCTGGAATGCACTTTGCGTTAGCACTTAAGAAGAAGGGAGATATTTACACGTATCAGAATTCGGGTACCGTGAGGACATGATAGAGATTTCTTTTCCATTCATTTGTGATGCCATGGGAATTGAAGCATCGCTGTATGCCTTTGCTGTAGTCTAGATAAAGGAGAAAGAGGCGCACATTCTCTACTTTTGAAGAGGATGTAATTGAGAAACAGACTGAACTGGAAAGAAGGGAGATACTCTGTGCTCAGACCTGTCCAGAAAGTTGTCTCCTTGCAACAGATCTGAAGACAAACCTATAGCTCTGGAACCTTAATATGGGCACAGGAGCAGGGTGGCAAATAGAATCCTAGAGTTGAAGGAGACCTCATGGGCCATCCAGTCCAACCCCCTGCCAAGAAGCAGGAATATTGCATTCAAAGCACCCTTGACAGATGGCCATCCAGCCTCTGTTTAAAAGCCTTGAAAGAAGGAGCCTCCACCACACTCAGGGGCAGATAGTTTCACTGCTGAACGGCTCTCACAGTCAGGAAGTTCTTCCTCATGTTCAGATGGAATCTCCTCTCTTGTAGTTTGAAGGCAATTGTTCCGCATCCTAGTCTCCAGGGAAGCAGAAAATAAGCTTGCTTCCCTTCTCCCTGTGACTTCCTGTTACATGGCTATCATGTCTCCTTTCAGCCTTTTATTCTTCAGGCTAAATATGCCCAGCTCTTTAAGCCGCTCCTCATAGGGATTGTTCTCCAGACCCTTGACCATTTCCATATCTGATTTCCTCTCAAAGTGCCACCCTCAAATTGCATCTGAATCAAGTCCCATCAAGAGAGTGTTTCAGGTTAGTCCGTGAGCAGAATAGACTGTTGTCGTTTCCAGTTGATACCATAGGACAGATATCCTCAAACCGAGGTCCTCCAGCTGTTTGGGCCTCCAACTCCCAGCAGCCCTAACGATCTTGTTAAATTGTCGGGAATTCTGGGATTTGAAGGCCCAAACAGTTGGAGAGCCGCAGTTTGAGGATGCCTGCCATAGGAGCTTCCACTGCTATGTTCATGCCAGAATTATTCCAAGGAAGGAAATGAAAACATGGAAGGACATGGGTGTCAGGACATCCTGAGTAAGGTGAAATCTCTGATCAAGGATTTCTGAGGAGGCTGAATCCTTGTGTTACTACCACAGTTTGGAGAAGTTACTTCTTTGAACTACATCTGCCACGCTAGCAGGGAGATTCTTGGAGTTGTCACTTTTTCAAGCCCTTGTTTCTAGTATGTGCATCGTAACAGTGGACAGATTGAATAGAGGTCTGTTGCCTGCCTCTCGCTGATATATGTTCCCTGCGGTGATTTCATAAGCTTGCTTCTTTCTTTCGAACATTACACTGATCACCTCATATTACACAACTAGTAATGCAATTGCTCTATAAAGAGCAAAGTGCCCACAAGGAAAATATATTTTGAAAATGCCAGTTTAGAAGCCAGAAGGGACCTTCTGGAGAGGCCTTAGATCAGTGGTTCTCAACCTGTGGGTCCCCAGATGTTTTGGCCTTCAACTTCCAGAAATCCTAACAGCTGGTAAACTGTAGAGCAGTGGTTCTCAACCTGGGGTCCCCAGATGTTTTTGGCCTTCAACTCCCAGAAATCCTAACAGCTGGTAAACTGGCTGGGATTTCTGGGAGTTGTAGGCCAAAACACTTTTTCCTATGCCACCCCCCACTCCACTCTATAGAGTATCTCAATCCTCAAGAGCTGCTTTTTGGAGACTACAGGTGGGAGATGAGCGAGAGTTCCCTTCTCTCTCATCTCTCTTCCTTCTTTCAGCAGAAATGTCTTGTGAGGAGTGTTCAGCTCAGAAAGACTGGATGTAAGACAGAATATAGAAATAGTTTTTTTAAGATATGGGGGGGAATGTTTGGGTATTGGTTAAAGACACTGCACCAGAAAGTACTGATGGACCAGGAAGATAATTTGGTTTTCTTTTCCTTTCCAGGCTCTCTTTGCTTTGTCGTCAATGCTACGCCACTTTCCCTATGCTCAGCAGCAGTTTCTCAAGTTGGGAGGGCTACAAGTACTCAGAGATCTTTGCACAGAAAAAGGAACGGAGACTTTACATATTCGCATTGTGACACTTCTGTATGACTTAATAGTGGAAAAGGTAAGAGGGTCTTTTTAACACTCCACAGGCTTCAAAATAGGCATAAATGCACAGGGATGGGTCAGGTACCAGGGGACTATGAAATGTATCAAAGCTCTCCAATCGGGAAAAGAGCAAGAGTGTATTCTTGGCACTGAAGGAACAATGCTGATGGGGAAATGGAGTAATGGAGCCTAAAAAGTATGACACATATGAATGTCCAGAGCAAAAAGTGGTGGAGTACTTTCCATCCTTTGATTTTTACATTTTTTGTATTCCACATTTTGACTGTCAAAAAAGGATCCCTTTTGTGTCATCCACCCTGTCCCATGTTAGAAATTTTTCCACAAGTACATTTCTCCTGGGCAAATTAGAAATGTGTTATTAAGCAATTTATACAGAGTGCAAGTCCATGAGGAACATTAAATTATCTGTGCTGAAACATCTTTGTGTGTGGATGTGTTTCAGTTGCCTAAATCCAGTTGCTAGTTCCAGCTAGGGTTTATGAATTTGACACAATAGAAAATTGCAGAAGAGTTGACTTACAACTACTGGCTGTTGGTTCAGTGAAACTTCTCTGGTAATGGGATTGTAATAGGATTTTGGCAAATATATTTTTTATTTCTCCAAACTTAACCCTAACCCTAATCCTAACTGGAGTCCCCTTGATGGAGGGCTTATGAATTTTCCCCAGGTGTTTTGGCCCACAACTCCCAGAAATCCCAGTCAGTTTACCAGCTGTTAGGATTTCTGGGAGTTGAAGGCCAAAAACATCTGGGGACCCCAGGTTGAGAACCATTGCTTTAGATCATGTTCAGACCTCCCTGCTAAGTTTAGCAGCAGTTTCTGTTGGTGGGTTGCAGTGAGTTTTCCGGGCTGTATGGCTATGTTCTAGAAGCATTATCTCCTGACCTTTTACCCACATCTATGGCAGATTCCTCCCATAGAGATGGGTGAAACATCAGGAGAGAATGCTTCTGGAAAACTCACAGCAACCCAGTGATTCTGGCCATGAAAGCCTTCAACAACACAGTTTCTGTTGGCAAATGCCATTTGTTTGCCCTTCTCTGCCAAGTAATGCTAGTGCCTACAATTATGGGAGGAGTTGTTTGGTTTATGTACCAGCGCTATTTGGCAGAGAAGGGCCGGGCTTAGCACAGTAGACTAAACTGCTGTGCTGCAGAAGGTCGGATCGAAAGGTTGGCAGTTTGAGCCCAGGTCAGGGTGAACACCTGCCGTTAGCCCCAGCTCACCTGCCCACCTCACAGGCCGAAAGCAGAAATGCAAGTAGATAAAAGAAGTACCGCTTTTAGCGGGGAGGTAATAAAGGTGCCCTTAAGGACATCGAATCGAGGAAAGCTCCTCAGCATGGAAAATTGAGCTATCGCACCCCTCTCCCACCGGCATTGAATGTTTGCCGTGTGTGTGTTCTGTAAAGCCTCTCTGAGTCCTTTTTGGGTTGAGAAGGGTGGGATATAAATACAAACAAACAAACAAACAAATAAGGGCAAATAACTCCTAAAACAACGATCCCCAGAATTCTGTAGCATTAAGGCATGGCAGTTAAAGACTGAAGACCTGAAAACATGGCATTGGGCCGTGGTAGTTAAAGTGGTGTCAAACTGCATTAATTCTACAGCGTAGATGCACCCTAAGAGAGAGTTTCTTGCCAAAGGGCACTTAAGGTAATTTGTTGAAAGAATAAGATTCAAATTGGAGAGGCAGGCTCTTAGCTACTGAACTATACCAGCTCTTGCTTGCTTGCACACGTTTCCCTGTTTCTGTTGTGGAACAGATAACCATTTAGCCCTCTGCAGATGACTCATTGCTCCCCAGATCCTTATAAGAGGGAAATCTTCACCACAGACATAGATGGCTGCATTTGGCAGGCTGCACTTTTAACAAGTTACAAATTAGAGGCCATCCCCCTTGACTTTATTATTCTGCTTATACACTGCCTCTTCCCAAGCTTTGTGTGATGTTTTCACTGAGAGGGGATGAACATTGCTTTGTTGACAGCCCCTTGTTGGAGGCTTCTTTCAGAAGGAGGTGACTGCCTAAGCAGGTGTAGCAGTCTGCCCCTCTCCTACTAAAGGAAAGGTCTTGCAGATGAACTTTGATGCTGCCTACTTCTAGTGGAACTACTGGCCCTTTTATTCCTCTCCCCGTGCTCTTCTGCAGATAGGGTTGATAGTTACAACACATGTAGACAGCATAAAAATAATTTTGAGGGGAAAATGCAGATGTAACAGTCATAAAATGGCCCCCCTGGTGATGCAATAGGTTAAACCGCTGAGCTGCTGAACTTGCTGACTGAAAGGTCAGTGGTTCGAATCGGGGGAGTGGGGTGAGCTCCCTCTGTTAGCCTCAGCTTCTGCCAACCTAGCAGTTTGAAAACATGCAAGTGTGAGTAGATCAATAGGTACCGCTTCTGTGGGAAGGTAACGGCACTTCATGCAATCATGCTGGCCACATGACCTTGGAGGTGTCTATGGACAACGCCAGCTTTTCAGCTTAGACATAGAGATGAGCACCACCCCCAAGAGTCGGATACAACTAGACTTAATGTCAGGGGAAACCTTTACCTTTTTAACACACATAAATGAACAACTATTATTTTTGTCCTTGGAAATATGTCTGGAATGAATTCATCTGTAAAATAAATTTGGAGCTCTAGTTATAAACCCATAAACATCTGGATATCCACAAGTGCCCCTCTTCTGGTTGAATGATGAGTAAGAAAGAAGGCAGGGCTACAAAATCTTGCAAAAAACCTCCTCAGTAAATACATGGGCCCATGGTATTTGCTGGGGTTTAATTCCAGGAGCTGTTTAATCTTACCTTAGTTAAACAGTGTCTTGTACATGAAGGTACCTTCCTTCCGATGTTACTTAGGAGTACAGTAGAGTCTCACTTATCCAACTTTTGCTCATCCAATGGTCTGTATTATCCAAGGCAGTCTGCTTCCTGTTTGGATTAACAACTGTTTCAATGCATTGCAGTGTTTTGGTGCTAAATTTGTAAGTGCAGTACATAACATTACCATGTATTGAACTGCTTTTTCTGTCAATTTGTTATAAAACTTGATGTTTTGGTGTTTAATTTGTAAAATCATAACATAATTTGACGTTTAACAAGCTTGTCCCTTAATCCCTCCTTATAATCCAATATTTTCACTTATCCAAGGTCCTGCCGGCCCATTTATGTTGGACAAGCGAGATTCTGCTGTACCAAAATTTGTGAATGCTAAAGTCCCATTTTGTACAATGAGGTAGTAAAATGGCATAGTAAAATCATGATTTCCTCTTTGAAAAATCAAGCTGTGGATGGCGGAATCCGAGGATGTGTAATCCGTGGATATGGAGGGCTGACTAATATTTTTTGCTGAGCCTTGAGTTGGCAGGTCAGACTTGCCATATGTCTTGGTAGGAAACTATCTTGTTCTTCCTTCCCTTTGGGTTAGGCTTCTGTTCAGCTGTTCCCTTCTCACCGTAAGTGGCCAGATACTCTCTGGTTGAAGGAATATTCTGTAAGGTGCCTATGTTACACTCACACTTTGCCATTACACGCTGAGACTCGAGAGGGAACCGAGTGGATTCCCAGTGCACATTCCTGTGTAACTTGGCTGCGTTTCCTTGCCTTTGCTCTTCTCAATCCAGAGAAACACTCTTCCGTAATTATCATATAGTAGTAAGGAGACTCCCGTGATTAGGATCTAATTAATGAAGTACATATATAGCAATTAACACAGGAGGCTGCCAAGTAAAGCAAAGAAAGCATACAGGGCCCCCATTGTGTTCTGGATTTGGCAACGGCGTGCTGTAAGCAACATTTTCCTTCATAAGCTGAGCCAGTTGGCTGGCTGGCAAGGCCCATGTGGGAGTTCTGCAGAGGGAGCTGAGCTTCTGGGCCGAGTCCAGATGATGATTTCCATCAAACAAGAGGTGCTGCTTCCCCTCCACACCTCCTCCTTCCTCTTACTACCTTTTTGGCCGTAATACAAATCCAGGCAGAAGAGCAGGAAAATCAGTATAATGTTATAGAGGGGGAGGCTCCATATCCAGTGGCATCTACTGCTTGGAAGCCACAGATGAATGTGACAGGATCAGACAAGATGGAAACCAATTTCTGGTCTTGTTAATTTCAATCCATATCAATTTTTTAAAAAGAAATCAAGGATAATTCTGAATTCATATGGAGAGGAGCACCCACCCCTTGATGTGATTTTGTTGTGAATGTCCCAAGAATGCTTGAGTCATCAAAGGGACCAAGGCATCTTCCAATAGTCACAAATTAGTCATTAGCCCACGTTGCAACAACGTCACCATTGGAGGTTTCATTTGGCTTTTCCAATAAATGTTCTGAAATACTATCACAATTTGCAAAGAAATCTGACTGGATGCTATGACCAGCCACACACTCACACACGTTGTTGTTCATTCATTCAGTTGTTTCCGACTCTTTGTGACCTCATGGACCAGCCCACACCAGGAGCTCCCTGTCGGCCGTCACCACCCCCAGCTCCTTCAAGGTCAATCCACTCACACACAGAACCCATGTATATGTTCTTATTTTCTTTACCAAGGACAATGACTGCAGTGCAATAATATGTTTTCATTGCCTCTATTCCAGAGCCTCTGAAAAGTCTAAAAACAGCCTTTCTGTTTCCTAGGTCCGAAAAATAGTGCAGCTGGTTCGCTGCATCCATGAATTTGGTATCCACAGATCCACAGGCAGAAAATATATATTAGGATTTTCCAAAAGCAAACCATGATTTTTGTTATTGTATGTAATGTGTACTATTTTACTATGCCATCATATATCAGGGCTTCTAAAATTTTCTCACTCGGAACTCCTTTCTGCCTGAGAAATCTTTTCATGACTGGGTTGCTGTGAGTTTTCAGGTCTGTGTGGCCATGTTCCAGGAGCATTCTCTCCTGACGTTTCACCCACATCTATGGCAGGCATCCTCAGATATTGTGAGGTCTATTGGAAACTAGGCAATGGAGGTTTATATATCT